TATATATATATATATATAGACTCCTTAGACGTGAAGTCTTCTCCAAGCGATTTCCTTCTCTTTGTGATTTCCTTCCAAAGATTGTGGTTCAAACATGGTAAGTAGATATTGCCTCCTCTCTCTTTGTTGATCATCTTTCTATTCACGTCGGCCTGCACCTTCATGCATATGTCCGAGATCTCTACAAAATATAACACAAAATAAGGTACAAAATATTTGAAATATACACATCATAAAAACCAAATTATATATATAAATAAATAAATGAAAATCTTCCCTTCTAAATTTCTTTGGCGTGCATGAATATATCTTCAATATACTATTTTTGAACTTATTTATAAAAATAGATCTTTCAATCTCCCTCTTTGGCATCTAGATTGAAAATCGTATATTGAAGATTACCTGAAAAAATATAAGACCAACAACAAAAAATATACCAGACAGTAGTATGTTAGAGTTAGATCACCGAATTAAGAACATCACAAATATCAACTGTGTAAGAACAAAGTTCTAAACAGAATTCACATGCAACTTGAGTTATCAGAACAAACTAAACATAATTACTTAAAAACGATCAACCACCATAAAAACAAACATAGTTCAGAATATCCAAAACACCCAAGCATCATCAGAAAGTACTAGTAGCAACCACACATAACATCAAATAGTTAAGAGGTTCTTTTACACAAAAGACCTCACTACATCACTCCCAAAACACTCAAAACAAATAAAGTCCATCAAATCTTCAGCCAGTTGGAGACTCTCCCCCAGATTCTTCACCTTCCTCAACAAAGCCACCCTTCTCAGTTTTCTCCCTTTTTTTTCGAACTACGGGATGCTGAAGGGTCTGTCCCTGTGTTCTTACACTTTTTACTACGAATGGCATTAAGTACCAGTCGGAGATGAGCCTTCTGAGCAGCACTGAGTTGGCTATGAACTCCCACTCGCCAAGTTGCTGCATTACAATTTCATCCCATTTGGTAGGAACAACAGAAGGAGCGGGCCCGAACTTGGGCTTAGGGGTGGACTTCTCATTAATCGTACGAGTACTCACTATGAGTGGCTTCCCCGGAATCGTTAATTGGTCATTGAAGCGAGGATTAACAGTAAAATTCGCAGCAGACAAGAAAGACCAGATCAAACACGGAAAAGGAAGGGTACGACGAGACTAAAGATTGGCAAAAAAAAAACATGAATGATTTCAAACACAACTGCTCCAAAGTTGACAGGCTGACCGACAAGAACCCAATAAACCACCTTGCTCTGAAGTTCAGTGAGCTGGTTCTTATTGGATGTGAGAGTCTAATTACAAGCTCCAATCTTATGTAGAAAATTGTCGACAGAGTGAGTTTACGAGCAGGTTAGAACCAGGACATGTATCGAAATGATTGTCGATCAGAACCATGGTGAGAGTATCCAAATCTACTTCAGGTAAGTCATCGAGGGAATCACGAAGACCCAAATGTGCATAAATCAAAGCAGGGGAAAAATCAACAACACGATTGTGAAGAAAGACTTTATGAAAACGAAGGCTACCAGGTAAGAACACAGCTGGGGTCAGGTTAGCATAAAACTAACGAACAACTTGGCCATAAAAGGGACGAAACATAGACACAATACCAGACATACCGACATTATCAACTAGTTCTAACACGCCATGTTCAACAAATTTCTTGTCATCCACAGGACGCTCAACACGAAAATCAAAATGAGTAAGAAACTCAAACCTTTCGTGAGCCAATAGCGTATAGAATCTGTAGGAAAAAACATTGTCAAGATCATACTCATCATCTCCAAGTTCTTTTACGTCAGGAACCTCGTCTATAGGCTCATTCCCTTGGCACCTGGTCGAACGACGAACCGCTATCCTAGATGGAGGTGTCGTCTGGTCAAAATGCACGTCGATAGTTGCAACGTCCTTGGGAGAACCTTCGTGAATAGATGTAGCAGCACTGTCGTCCTTCTCGCCTTCCTTAGTAGTTGATCTTGTCCAGACGTAGGAACAACAGACAACTCCCCCTGAGTGGTACTTTAAGTTGCTTCCTTTTGTAGTGGCGGAGGAGGAGTTTGAACATCACCAGCTTTTGGAGAGGGCGTCGGATATGTGGTATGAAGTTCACTCATTTTTGGAGAGGATGGTGGTATGGAAGACGGAGAACGGCGGGTGTCTACCTGAATAAGTGGAATTGGCGTATCTGAGGGTGGCTATTCGTGAGAGCGCGCGGGAGACTCGATGATTCTATAGCGAGGTCTCTTCTTTACCAATTGTTTGATTCTCTTATGCCGCTTCTTGGATTTGTCGTCACTACCGGCCATGGTCTAGAAACAGTTATGAAGGAATTAGGTTTGAGAGAAAGAGAGAACGAAAGAGAAGGATTGGGAATTTTTGGGTGAAAGAGGAGATGAATTAGGGTTCAGAACAATTATGAAGGAGAGGTTGCGTGTGAGAAGTTAAATAGAATCTTACAATTGATATGATCAAGAGTAGTTTCCAAAACCGAGGAGGTGAGACAAGGGAGTTAGAACGGTTTTAAGGAAACAAATCCCTCCAAAAATCATAATTCAAACACTCCTTTCCTTTGCGAAAGATAACTTCCCACAGAATTTCAAAAATTTGATTTGAAAAATCAGTTATTTCACCCCAAAATATTTTCCACACAAAAATCTAAGACCCAATTAATTTATCTCAAGGAAGGAAATCACATGCATTATTCCTAATTATGAAAAAAAAAAAAAATCATTGCAATAGTTAAAGTCAACCCCATTACTTTGTAACAATGATTTTAAGCAGCAATTAATATCCGATGCAAATTTTTTGTTTCAGTATGCACTATGTTTATTCTGTAAATGGCCACCTTATAAATTCGTGTAAGAACACCACACAATAAAGTGCAGAGCTTGTCAACAGCTTTCACCCTTCATAACATTTTCTGTTCATGAAGCTCTTTTCACAGTCGATTTCGTGGGAAACAAACCTTGTGCAACCTTTTTCAATGAATCATTGTGTGATGGTAGCTCTTTTTGATAGAAAATTCAAATAAGTTACTCAGTATGTAAGAACACGCAAACAGTTTCAGTTAATCAACATGTCACTTACTTCTACAGAGTGGTGATTTAGATGCAACATGCAATAAAGGACTAATGCATATACCCTATATGCATACACACAATGCAATAGATAGATAATATTATAATATACAACACAATATAATATAATGCAATTTTCACATAAGCAATCAGATAGTGCACATCCTTAAGGATTCTCTTAGAGAGATGAATCGATGGGAATCCAGTGCTTTAGTGAATATATCAGCTAGCTGGTTTTATGTTGGAACATACACAAGAACAATCACGTCATTGTCAACCAAATTTCTAATGAAGTGGTACGTATATCGAAGTGTTTAGTTCGAGTGTTGAACAGGATTCTTGGAGATATTTATGGTGCTGCTGTTATCACAAAAAAGGTTTACGGTTCTTACCTCAAGGCCAATTTCCAACATCTTTTGTTCATCCACACAAGCTAAGAACAATAACTCCAGGAAAATATATTTAGCCTCAGCGGTTGAAAGAGCCACACAATTCTGTTTCTTGCTCAGCCATGAGATCATGTTGTTGCCGATGTAAAAACATTTTCACGATGTACTACATCGATCATCAACATTACCTTCCCAATCAGCATCATAATAACCTGCAAGACTAGCACTAGTATCGTGCGAATAAAGAACTCACAAGTCAGTAGTACCATGAACATACTTGATAATATGTTTCACGACCTTCAGATGCGATTCCTTAGGATTAGCTTGATATCGTGCACACATTCCAACACTAAAACAGAGATCAGGCCTACTAGCAATCAAATACAACAGATTTCCTATCATGCTCCTATAAAGGTTATAATCCACTGATGTTCCAGCATCATCCTTAGAGAGCTTCTTGTGGCTCCCCATAGGAGTTGCAGGACACTTAGCGTGTTCTAACCCGAACTTTTTCACCAAGCTCTTTGCATATTAGGTTTGATGAAGAAAATTCCATCCTTGGATTGCTTCACTTGCTAACCAAAGAAATAGGATATATCACCAACCATACTCATTTCAAACTCCTTAGAAATATGATCTACGAATTCATTGACCCAAGCGTTCGAGGTAGAGCCAAAGATAATATCATCGATGTAAATATGTTCAATGATAATATCTTTCTTAATTTTTTGTTCAAAAAGAGTTTGATCAACTCCCCCTCGAGAATAGCCCTTTTTAATTTAAAAAATGAGTCAAGCGTTCGTACCATGCTCTAGGAGCTTGTTTGAGTCTGTATAAAGCTTTCTTCAACCTATACACATGCTCTGGATAAGGAGGATCCACAAATCCTTCAAATTGCTTAACATAAGCTACCTCTTTCAAAAAGCCATTTAAGAAATTAGATTTCACATCCATTTGATAGATAATAAAGCCTAATAAGCAAGCAATGGATAAGAACGTCCTAACAGACTCAAGATGTTCAACAGCAGCAAATGTTTCATCAAAGTCTACACCCTCTCCTTGAGTATCCCTATGCCACAAGACGAGCTTTGTTCCTAGTGATTTCTCCTGATTCATCCGCCTTATTTTTAAAAATCCATTTTGTTCCAATGACGTTACAATCGGTGGGTCTAGGAACAAGCTCCTAGACATCATTTCTAACAATCTGTTAAAGTTCCTCATGCATAGCTTGTATAAAGAAATCATCACACAAAGCTTCTTTAGAATATTTGGGTTCCAACTTCGATACGTAACACGCAAAGTGACATAGACTATCCATCTTACGCAAGTCTGATTTTACACCTCTTGTGTTACGTTCAGTGATCCATCCTATAATTAAATCTTTAGGATGATTATTCTGAATTTTAGCGAGAGGATCTCGCCTAGATTCAGTTAAATTTCCAGAGGGTGTTGGAACATAATAATCAACATTGTCACACACATGAACATTTTCAACTGATTCAGAAACTTTAGTATTTATTTCATTCAAAGCACTTTTACTTCAGAATTTTCAGACATATTTCCTTCAAAAACATCAATTTGAGAAACATCGGACGTAAGAACATTATCAAACAAGTCATCAAGGACAACATTAATTGATTTTATCACAACTTCAGTACGCAAATTGTAGACACGAAATGCACGACTGTTAGTTTCATATCCTAGGAATTGACCAATGTCACTTTTAGACTCAAATTTACCTAGATGTTCCCTATCATTATTGATGTAACAACGGCATCCGAACACATGAAAGTACTTCACACTAGGAGGTTTACCTTTCAAAATTTCATAGGATGTCAGGCTCGTACCTTTCCGGCAATACACACGGTTAGTTATGTAACAAGCCGTGTTGATGGCTTCAACCCACCATCTCAATGACATCTCTTGGGAAATGATATAGGGAAGCGTACAAGTGGGAAAGATAAACGAACTAAATACTCTCTCGATAAAACCAATCAAATCTTATTTCATTCAAAAATCAACTGAGTAAAACAATAGATGAGGAGCCCTTTAAATAAGATTCCTAAACCTTATTCCTAACTTGTCCAACAAGAAAATATCATTTATAATAATATTTAATTCCTAACTTATTCTCCAAGATACCTAATAATAATAATAATAATAATCATAATAATAATAATCATCTACACCATTCTCTCCCGGTTCGGAAGGTTTCGCCATCGAAGCCGATGCGCTCCCGTGACCGACGTGTGGTGTCGAATCTATAGTAAGAAACTCCCGTCTTTTTCCCCGATCAAACACGAAAGTTGAACGTCGCCCAACCAATGCAACACTCTCTTGATTTTTATCAAACAGGGATACGACTACAGCTGTCTCACCACCATCAACAACAAATACCAAGACTCTTAGACCCAAATAAGAGCACGCACATCTGCCTTTAGGATCAGATCCCACACAAAAAACGTGATACCACATATCACATGAATCGCAAACAATGGATGCATCAATATCTGAATATACATCAATTGATACCGGGCAAAAATCAGACTTCCGGGGCAACCCTATCCATTACGAATTTTGCGTTCACCTCCATCCATATAGACAACTGCATTCTCATCGATTCCCCTGTCCCCGCAAAGTTTTTTCACCGTCACCGGAGGCTCTTCATCAAAGATCGGCGGACCGTCGTACAATGGCCCGTCGACTTGCTCCCTGTCGAATTCGGAGATGTCAACGCGAAACGTACCCTCCCATTGCCAAATTCGCGATCAAGTCCCCAATCGTGTCGGGCACGATATTCGCCGGCAAAGGCAGCCTCCTCGCGCCTACCTCTATTGTCGTGTTGATCGTCACCGTCCACGAAGACCGAGCCCTGTCGCCGCATGTCACGGCCGCCGTATGCAACGAATGGGTCAGCCTCGACGTGCGGGGGTGAATAATCGCCGAAGGAATTCACCTCCAAAATTATCTCCTCGCCCTCTTCATCACCGGACGGTGGTTGTGGAGATCTCCAGCGGGGTGCCCCGCCTGGACCACGGCCTCCATGTCCCCCGCGAACTCCCCCGCGCACGCCCCGGTTGTTGGCGTCACGGTTCGTCTGCAAATCCTCAACCATGTTGTTGATCGTAAGACGCACTTCTTCGATCCCCAAAGAAAGATTCTCAATCCGACGATCCAGTTGATTGATCTGGCGGTCGAAGCCCATGGCTTGTCGACCCGGATACTCAAGTGTGGCGTCACGCCCGTCAATGTCGTCCTTTCGCGGCGGCATCTTGAATCGTGCTGACTTCTGATACCAACTGATGTAGGAAGCGTACGAGTGGGAATGATAAACGAACGAGATACTCTCTCGATAAAACCAATCAAATCTTATTTCATTCAAAAATCAACTGAGTAAAACAATAGATGAGGAGCCCTTTAAATAAGACTCATAAACCCTATTCCTAACTTGTCCAACAAGACAAGATCACTTATAATAATATTTAATTCCTAACATGTTCTCCAAGATACATAATAATATTAATGATGATAATAATAATAATAATAATAATAATAATAATAATAATAATAATAATAATAGTAATCTACACCAGGAAACAAGCATAACCCTAGCCATTTCCTGCAAAGTTATGTTCTTACGTTCCACCACTCCATTTTGTTGCGTAGTTACAGGAGAAGAAAACTGATAAGTTATACCCCGAGAATCACAAAAAGACTCGAAACCACTGTTTTCAAACTCCTTTCCATGATCACTCTTAATAGCAACAAGGTTTATCTTCTTTTCATTTTCAAGTTTTAACACAAGTTTTCGAAAAGCTTCAAAGTGCATCAGATTTATCCTTTAAAAGATCTACCCAAGTAAATCTAGAAAAATAATCTACACAAACAAGGATATATTTTTTTACCACTGTAGCTTTCCACTTGAATGGGCCCCGTCAGATCCATATGAATCAGGTTCATGATACTGTCTGTACTCACTTCAGTTATTCTCTTGTGTGAAGCTTTCTTCTGTTTGCCCATTTGACATGGACCGCACACACGGTGTTCTTGCCTGTTCATTTGGCAAACCACGAACAATACCTGCAGTGGATAATTCAATTAAGTGAGGATAATTGATGTGTCCTAATTTCTGATACCAGAGTTGAACCGTATCAATGCTGGCTTTATTGAATTTCAATTAAAGTTCAACCAAATAACAATTATCCATAGATCTGGAACCAGTAAGAACATGATTATTTTCTTGATCAGAAACGAGGCATTCACACTTAGTAAAATTCACAGTCCTTGATCACATAACTGGTTGATGCTCAGTAAATTTGCTTTCAAGTTTTCAACAAGAAGAACATTTTGAAGTTTAGGTAATCCAAGCACATTTAAAAACCTAATACCGAGAACTTTATTCTTAGATCCATCGCTAACGATTACAGAACTAGAAGATACAGGTAAAATATTGATAAAGTTAGATTTAAGACCTGTCATATGACGTGAACAACCACTGTCAAAATACCAATCAGAACTGGAAGTGGATTTTAAGGCAAGGATAGAACACAAACATATGTTCTTACTCCCCTTAGGTACCCAGATGTTTTTCTTATCATGATTAACCACATCAACCTTTAATTTAGGAGCTTTTAAAGGTACATCATGTGGACATCATTCACCAATTCGACCCGTAAAAATATCGTTGTGCATGCTATAACACTTAGGAGATATATGACCACGAATAACACAATAGTAACAAGTAGGCACAAAGTTCTTTCCAGAATTCTCACTCCGAGCTTTATCAGAGTTTGACTTACCATTCTTACCATTGATACTCGAACCTTCTTTAACAAAGGTAGAACTAGACTTACTCTGAGATGGACTTGGTTCATCAATCTTTCCTTTCAGCTTCCGTTTGTGAGTGTTCTTCCTCTGGTCTGAAGTGCCTATCTGTTGACTCAAGTTTTGAAGTTCAGCAAATGAGGATATTGGCTTATTGATCATCTTGGTAACTTCATCACTCTTGCTCAGTTTCTTCTCGATGTTTGAACAATGTTCTTGAAGAAATACATGTTTCTCCATCACTCGACCGAGCTCTCCTTTCAAGGCAATGATCTTAGCTTCCCTTTCTCCCACAATATTCTGCAAAATAAACAATTCATTACGTAAAGATTCAATATTAAAGTCCATCCCATCACTTACATGTTTGTTTAGTTTGTCATTGTGTTCCATCATGACAATTTTGGCGAAGCAGCTATTTAGATCACGATCTTATTTGCCGGTGTGAATGTCGGAATTGATGAGTTTTTCATTCAGTTCCACGGTCATCAAGCACATTTTCTGAAGATCATCTCTGAGATAGATGATCTCCTTTTCACGCTCTTCTGATTGGTGTTCCAACAACTTCATCTTCTCTACCTGGACTTTATACTTCTTGACGACTTTGGTAGCCTTCAGACACTTCTCTATGGCATGCTTGTGAAGAACGAGATTCTCCTCACCCAAATAGAAAATTCTTCAGGTTCAGAGTCACTTAGGGGATGGGCGTAAGAACCAACATCTGACTCAACATCAGTTAGGTGGACAAAGGATGTATAACACTTATAATTGTTGAGAGGACACTTGGAAAAATTGTTCGTGTATTCTGAACCCTCAGTTTTCTCAGATTCATCATCCTCATCATCACTACAATCATCCCATGTGGCTTTATAGATCTTGTTCTTTTTCTTAAAATTTGGACATTCCTTCTAAAAGTGACCAAAACCAATGCATTCCCGACACTGATCCTTTTCAACACCTTGGTTCAAATTCTGAAACTTGTTGGACTGAGTGTTCAAACGTCATTCACCGGACTATTGAAACATGCTCTTTCCTTCTTTAGTGGACTTATTTCCTTGAAGCTTCTTCTTTTGAAATTTCTTCAAATTTGAAAAGTTCCTAGTGAGAACCGTAAGTGCTTTGGTGATTCCTTCAGCATCGAAAACCTCGTCATCCGATTCTTCTACCTTTGCCACTGATGCAGTTGGCCTTCAGTGCTAAGCCTTTGCTTTTGACATTGTCAAAATCATAGTTTATTTCATGAGTACGTAGGTCTCCCAGAACATCACCAATTCCCAAAGGCTAAATCCTCATAAAACTTTCTAGAGCCGTAACCTTTTCACGAAACCTTTTTGGTAGGGTTCTCATGAGTTTTTGTACTTATCCTGCCTCCAAGACTTCTTTACCAAGCATGGCGCTTTGATTTATGAGGTCACAGAAGCGAGCATAGTACATATCTGTAGTCTCGTATTATCTCATCCGAATCTTATCAAGTTTCGTGGTAACTCCTTGCAGCTTCGAGGCTTTCTCAGCGTTCGTACCTTCAAATTTCCTCTCGAGAATTTTCCAAGCATCACGGGTTGTGGTGCACTGGATGATCATCTTATGACGTGTTGGATCTACAGCAGACATGGTTGCATATAGAGCACAGATGTTGGCTTCTTCAGCTTGTATTTCCGCATCGGTCCAAAGATCTCTCGGTTTTTCGACTAGAACAAAAAGGACCGAAGATGAGGATTTCACTTCAGAGGACTCGCAGAACTTGAATTCAGAAGGCGATTTTGGCATAAGAGGTGTAGATCAACCTATCTCAATTATTTGCCAATTTTCTTTCCTAGAGAGCGGAGGAAAATTGTCATCATGGACTTCCAGTATCCATAATTTGATCCATCGAGGTATGAAGGGCGTTAAACTAACATGCCGTCGTGATTCATGGTGACAAATCCAAAGGCCCAAAGATTTTTATCTTGTGATTAGAATAGAAACACTGCTCTGGTTCCAAATGAAACGTGGGTATACTACGTAGAGTGCACTCAACTGTGTTAGAACATGGAATGTGTATAAGTTTCAAATTGTGTTGCACCACCAGAATAGTTAAATAACGGAAGCACAAACAAGAGATAAAAGCTATTCGGGGAGCATCCCACTACCCCTCAGACATCTTTCATTAATAAATCGATTGTGCACTCGCGTATATTTTAGACTTATACAAGTAGAGCTCCCTTCTAGCCTAGCCAACAGTATACTCGATCCTATCAACTACTTCTCTGGCCACATACCATGGACTTTACACACTCGAATCCCTTGAGCAAACCCAGTAATAGTAATTAATCTCTAAGTACTAAAACAAAGTTTATGAAGAAAGTATGAAAAACTAAAGAAAACAACCTCAGTTCTTCGATGGTGTAAGAACATCAAAGAACTGACTAACAAAATAAAATGAAGAACAAAATTCTTGAACTCTCAATTGAATGCTCGAATGATATGCGAATTATGAAACTCTCAGCAGCCTTCAATTGATCTCGAAGATAGGTATATAAAGACTCCTTAGACGTGAAGTCTTTTCTAAGTGATTTCCTTCTCTTTGTGATCCTTCCAAAGCTTGTGGTTCAAACATGATAAGTATATATTGTTTCCTCTCTCTTCCTTTATCTTCTTTCCATTCACCTCGGCTTGCACCTCCATGCATACGTCTGAGATATCTACAAAATATAACACAAAATAAGATCACAAAATATTGCAATACACATAGCATAAAAATCGAATTATATATATAAATAAATAAATGAAGATTTTCCCTTCTAAATTCCTTTTGCTTGCATGAATATGTCTTCAATATATTATTTTGAACTTATTTCCAAAAAGAAATCTTTCAAGTTTTTCTGCTTAACTAGAGTTAATTTTAAAGAAGATGGTATGTTTAGTTGTTAGTGAGATTTTAATTTTATATTAAAATAAAATAATTAAAGTTGATTTGATGAAAAGGTAGGAAAGCGAGGATGTGAAATGATAGTTAGTTAAAATTATGTGAATAGATTAATAGTGAACTAAAGTTGATGTGACATGTAAGAATGATTTGTTTTTATTATTTAATTATATTTAAAATAGTGGGGATGAATTAAAGTTGAGTTAGATTTTAAGTTTGAATTAAGTATAAATTGAAATAATTGATAAACAAACACACTCTAAGCTACATTCGACTATTGAAATAGTTCTATAATTGAACAAAAAATAAATAAAATAAACAATGTAAAAAAAAGTTTGATATTAAATTCCAGATTCTCTCAAAATTATTGGACTAAATTAAAATAAAATTCACCCTCTAAACATTTATATTTTGGATCTATCTTTCAATCCATATACCCTACGTATAATACTCAATATAGGTATATAATTGCATGGAAAGGTACTACTAAAAATAAGTTTAATGTAAGAATTGTGTATGATACTATTTTTATTTAGGTATTATGATTCTTTTAAAAAAAAATCATATGATGGCAGTACACATATGATATATATATAAAAAACATAAATAAATTCTTACCGTAAATAACACACACAAAAAAAAAGAAAGAGAAAAAAAAAAGATGAGCTACAACAGTGATTATGCAAGCCACCTTAAGCTACTTTATGTGATTTGAACACGCTTTTTTAGCTTTTACCTTATATAAGTCAAAGACGCTAAATGCACAGAAGATGAAGACCTAATTAGATTATAGCGATGTACATGTATGGTAAATACAACTTGCGTGGTAATTAATGCCTTGAAGATAGCTAAGAGGAGCTATTCAATGATTCATGGAATTATTGGTTGTACATAATTGATAATGAGTTAGACTAAATAACTCTTTAACTCAAATAATGCCGTCCAATCCTAATTTATTTTGGTTTAGCATCGATACTATGGAGAATCAAATCCTTTGGGTTCAATGGAGAAGGCCATAGAAAATGATACGATTCGTGGATATTTCAACTCAGCTCAAGCTTTAGCCGATTTTGCAGAAATTTTGTTACACATAAAGAAATCTTTATCAGCAAATGATTCGCCAATTCTTGTCGTTGGAGGTTCTTATGGAGGAAGTAAGTAATTTGATGACAATTGTTTTGTTTTTTCAAGAAAAGAAAATATAGCAAAAATAATTATACATCTAGTGTATTTATTTCAAAAGTACAATTAATTACAATTGAGAAAGATCCTTCATTTTAGTGTTAGCTGCGTGGTTTCGGTTAAAGTATCCACACGTTACTATTGGTGCTCTGGCCTCCTCAGCCCCAATTCTTTACTTCGATAATATCACTCGGCAAGATGCATACTATTCCATTGTGACTAAAGACTTCAAGGTACCTACTTATTCATTTATTTTTATATTCAAATTTGTGTTCTATATATTGTTTGGTCTAAGTTTATCTGATGATTTGCTAAAAAAACATAATTTTTTTTTTTTTTTATTTAAATTTGTACGTAGGAGGCTAGTGAGAATTGTTATCTTACCATAAAAAAATCATGGGCAGAAATTGACAGAGTAGCATCACGGCACAACGGCCTCACCATTCTCAGTCGAAGATTCAATACTTGCTCGTAATATTCGATGATGATATATTTAAATTTCTTAGTCTTCTAACTCCAATTTAAATTTATGAATCCCCTCTTCTCCATATCATATTTTACAACACAACAAGTTAATATACTAATGAGATATCACGATGTCAACTAATTTGGCATAATTACACAAATATGAAGCACTATATTTTTCTGTCATTAAACTTAGTCCATTAAGTTGGTATTTTAATAATAAATAATGCAAAATGCTGATGTGGCAGGATTATGGAACTTTATTTTTATTCTTTGAAGTACTAATTAATGATGTAAATATTAATAAAAAGAATCAAACTTTCACAAACAATTTACTAATTTTTCAAGTTCTTAAAACTTTAGTTCATGATGTTGATATTTTGATCATAAATGGTGATTTTTTTATTTTTTTTTCCGATCATCAAATCTATCATGACATGATAACGCGGCATAATGCGTGGTCGACATGGGATGAAAAAAAAAAATCAATTATTTTATTTTTCAAACGAATTAAGTACTTTAATTATATGACACATTGGCAGGCCATTTATAGAAGATTGTATTTTAATAAGTAATTAAGAGAATAAGAAAATAATAAGTAAATTACATATTCATATCACACCTGTATTATACAGCATTGGTGATTAAAATGTCAATTCAGTGAAACATGTTTAATGTTAAATCAATTTATCTGCATCATTTACATAAGTAGTCCAAATTAGTGAACCATTTGAGATAATTTCTCATTTACTAATGACTATTTAACTCAAATTAATGTGTTTCATTGTTTGCAGGCAGCTCAACCATTCATATGAGCTAACTCAATTCCTGGAGGATATGTACGTAAGTGCATCTCAATATGATGCACCACCAGAATATCCAGTATCAATGGTGTGTAAAGGGATTGATAAAACTTCGTCTAAGAAAACCGATACTCTTGGCCGTATTTTTGCTGGCATTGTCTCTTTTTTAGGAAATCAGACATGCGTGGATACAGTTGGTCACTACACGAAAACTGCATTAGACTCTCAACTTGGATATGCATGGCAAGTAAGTTGTTCATTTATTGTTGTTTATTATATTAGATGACATAATTTTATTTTGTCAAAATTGCCCTTAATATCATGAACTTTTTTGAAATTGCAGTTTAATTACGATTTTTTTCACTTTTGCAAATTATATCACAATCTTCAGTGTGTTGCAAATTGGTGCACCGATTTGTATATCCCGTGTAAACTATATCACAATCTTCAGTTTGTTGTTCGACCACATCAGCTTTTCTATGACTGTTTTCAGACTGTTTACAACAAACTAAAGATTGTGATATAATTTGCAAAAGTGAAAAGGTCATGATTAAATTGCAACTTCGATAAAGGTCGTGATATTAGGGTCAAATTTGCCTTTCATTTTTAGTCAATTATATTGGTCTCTTTCCAATAAATGTACACTTTTTCAACAAACATCAAACTTAGTGTATTAATTTCAAAAATTCATTAAAAAAATTGCACTAATCATTATTAATGGCATGATAATATTTGTTGTTTTCTTTTAGTCCTAATTTGAACGTAGGCCAATGTCCATTTCAAGTGGGTAGTCGGATTATGCTCATCGAGACAGTCGTACTCATAAATTTTTATCTCAATAAAAGTTCTTTTGCCCACTCAATTTTCCATCCGAATAAATTTAGGTTATTTTGTATCTGTTTTAATTTCGACACCATCGTATACGGTTTAGGTAGATGACTCACCATCGAATTCTTCTTGTCAAGATCTCAATTGGAGCACGCTGCCTTCTCAATTTGTCATCCAAAACAATTATAACCCAAATTCATTGTTCTCTATCCAGGGACCATTTTTGTGCCTTATAGAGTAAGTTTTAGTGGGGTGACTTACCCGTTGGATTGTCTCATCAAGACGGTAGTAACAAACAATTTGTAGCTCAATTAGATTTCGTTTGCCTACTCAATTTTTTGTCCAAAATAATTTGAGTTGTTATATTTTCGGCCTAATTCTGGTGTCGTCTCAAATGAGTTTGTTGTATGTATCTACCGTTGAATTTTTCTCGTCAAGACAGTCGTATTCCAAAAATTTCAGACCAATTGAAGTTCATTTGCCCATTCAATTCCCCGTCTAAAATCAAATGCACAAACTATATTTTCGTCCCGCAATCAGCCTGCGTCGAGCCCATGATAAATCTAAATAATTCGACCTTTATCTTGCCACTAATGATCAGTGTATCCTATTTAATGAACTTTTCAAATTAATGTACCAACTTTGATTTCTGCCAGAAAAGTGGATCTTTGCTGGAAAGAACCCAATGCAGTGCAGTAAAAATGAAAAATTATGCCTTGTTTGGACATATGGAAGAGACAATAAATGGGGTTCCCTATCATCATCAAAAGTAAAAAGACCAGGGAAAAGAAATTTATATTGAAATTCATCTTCATACTTGTTAGATAACGATTGCAATATATAATCACGAACCGGCCGAAAATCCGTTGGAATTGATTAACAACAACAGCAACAACAATAACAACAACAGAAACAACAATAACAACAACAACTTAATATGCTTAATATATAAATGTTCCAATCACTATAAGAGGGATTGGAATTGAGTTTTCTTAACTCAAATCCACCCAATCAATCATTTTCACATTTTTAACGCAAAATCTAACCCAACTCAATTTTTCTCAATATTATCAAGATAATACTAAACAATCATCCTTATATACATCACATTCACTTTAATTTCTTATTCATCCACTCACATAATTTTAGCTACATATCGCTTTCAATAATATCTCTCTTATTTTTACATTACATCTAATTTAATCATTATATTTTAATCTGTTCGAATCACCCCATAAATTATATCTTTGGAGTCATAAAAATGTGTATTTGTGGCTCTTTGTTTGACGTGCAGAGTTGTAGTGAAATGGTGATGCCAATTGGGGGTGGTGCAAACGATTATCTATTTCCAGTTGCACCTTTTGATATAAACGAATATAACGAATATTGTAAGAGCCAATATGGTGTTTCACCACGGCCCCATTGGATTACAACTTACTACGGAGGCCAAGTAAGCATTGTTTATATGACTATATTATAGTATTTTTTTTAAAAAAAAAAAACATGATAATACGTGTAAATTGTGTACCCATAACATGAAACATTCAAAAACTTTGTTAATTTAGCCGAAGGTATGATTATAGATAGTGAATTGTTTTTTCCGCACAGGGCATCAAGTTTGTCCTAAATAGATTTGGGAGCAATATAATTTTCTCCAACGGCCGCAGAGATCCATGGAGTGGTGGAGGGTAATCAATTATTTTTAATTCGTATTTTTAATTTTGTTGTCTAATTTTGAAAAAAAAGGAATTGGGACAAGTCTATTCTCATTAATGTTCTATACATGACTTCTCGTTTTCACATTCAGGGTGCTTGAAGATTTGTCTGAAAGTTTGGTTGCTATAACAACTCAAAACGGTATGCATTTTTATCACTGCAAAATTAATAACTTCATATATTTTGCTATTAATAATCTGTGTAGTTTCTATATGATATGAGTGTACAATGCTATGTCATTTTTAGACCATTATAATTAAAAGAAATGCTAGATACTCGATTATCCCAACTAAATCTAGGCAAAATATACATAACAAAACATTCAACTATATCTAGTAG